TTTTTTTAAAAGATGCTATGATATTATGAAATATGTTTGGTCTTCATCCCCCTTTCCTGGCGTACAACTAAAATCCTTAGCATCTCCAAAGTGATGTCTTTTTGTATGCTAATGAATTGACTGATGGCTGGCTGGCAGCCTCTAGGTAGCTTAAGGTTTGGGACTGGTCACCAGAAAGATCAGGCAGGAGTAGAGAGGTAGGACTTTCAGCCCACCCTGCCAGCCTCTGGGGAGGAGAGAGAGGCTAAAAGTTAATTTGATCACTAATGGCCAATGATTCAATTAGACATGCCTACATAATGAAGTTTCCATAAAACCCAAATGGACTGGATTTGGAGTGCTTCCAGATAGCTGAACATGTGGAGGTTCTTGGAGGATTGTGTACTTGGGGCAGGCATGGAAGCTCCAAGCACCTTCCCACATGCCTTGCCCTATGTTTTTCTTCACCTGTATCCTTTGTAATATCTGTTATAATAAACCGGGAAACTTAAGTGTTTCCTTAAGTTCTGTGAGCTACTCTAGCAAATTAATCAAACTTAAGGAGGGCGCCATAGGAACCACAATTTTAGCTGGTCAGTCAGAAGCACACATAAAACAAGCTGGGGCCTGCAATTGGCTCAGAAGTAGGGGGATGCCTTATGGGACTGTGCCTTCAACCTGTGGGATGTGATGCTCTCTCCAGGTACATAGTGTTGGAATTGAACTGAATTACAGGACACCTCGATGGTGTCTGATGCAGACCTGATTGCTTGCTTGGTGCTTGAAACTGTGAGCCTGGATAGGATCCTAAATACTCCCTAGGGAATGATATAGGTAGAGAAGGTATTTGAGGCCTGAGACCCAGTACCTTCCAAAATTTGGAGATTAGGAAAATGGAGAAGAACCAGCAAAGGAGACTGAGAAGGAGTAGTCAGTGAGGTAGGGGAACCATGAAGGAGTGGTGCCCTGGTGGCCAAGTGAAGAAAGTGTTTTAGGATGAAGACAATGATCAACTGTGTGGGCAAAGTGAAGACATGATCATTGGATTTGATAACACGCAAATTACTAATAACCATAAGAAGAATGGTTTTGGTCAGGCCCCATGGCTCATGCCTGTAATCCCAGGATTTTGGGAGGCCGATTCGGGCAGATCACCTGAGGTCAGGAGTTCAAGACCAGCCTAGCCAACATGGTGAAACCCCATCTCTACCAAAAATACAAAAATTCACCCAGTGTGGTGGCATGCGCCTGTAATCCTAGTTACTCAGGAGGCTGAGACAGAATAATTGCTTGAACCCAGGAGGCAGAGATTGCAGTGATCCGAGATCAAGCCACCACACTGCAAGAGAATGACACTCTATCTCAAAAAAAAGAAAAAAAGAATGGTTTTGATTTGATTTATGGTGATGAAAACCTGATTGGAATGGGTTCAGAAGAGACAGGAGGAGACGTGGAGACAGCAAATACAAACAAAACAAAGCAAAACTATTTCAATGAATTTTGTGTAAAGGGAGTTTACACAAAGAAAATAAAAATGGGCTGGGCGCGGTGGCTCAAGCCTGTAATCCCAGCACTTTGGGAGGCTGAGGCAGGTGGATCACGAGGTCAAGAGATCGAGACCATCCTGGTCAACATGGTGAAACCCCGTCTTTACTAAAAATACAAAAAATTAGCTGGGCATGGTGGCACGTGCCTGTAATCCCAGCTACTCAGGAGGCTGAGGCAGGAGAATTGCCTGAACCCAGGAGGCGGAGGTTGCGGTGAGCCGAGATCGCGCCATTGCACTCCAGCCTGGGTAACAAGAGCAAAACTCCGTCTCAAAAAAAAAAAAAAAAAGGAAAAGAAAAGAAAAGAAAAATGGAATAGTAGCCAAAAGTAGATGTGAAATTAAGGGGAGGTTTTTGTTGGCACATTTGTTTGTTTGTGTATTTGTTTGTCTGTTTTCCAGTTACTCACCTCAGCCTCCCAAAGTGCTACCATTATAGGCGTGAGCCACCACACCCAGCCTCTGTTTGTTTTTAAGATAGGAGATACTTGATATCATGTTTGTACAATATTGGTAATTACTCACTTTGTGTACAGAGGGGAATGATTTTGAGTTCAGCTTAAGCACAGCTTATTTCTGCCTGGCTTGGATTCAGAGACCCACCCCTCCTGAGCAATGTTGCATTTGCTTCTACAAAGTGTCCTGAAGGCACCACCAGCCCAGGACCAATTTTCAGGTTAATTTTTCTTTTCTTTTTTGAGATGGAGTTTCACTCTTGTTACCCAGGCTGGAGTGCAATGGCGCGATCTCAGCTCTGCCTCCTGGGTTCAGGCAATTCTCCTGCCTCAGCCTCCTGAGTAGCTGGGATTACAGGCACGAGCCATCATGCCCAGCTAATTTTTTGTATTTTTAGTAAAGACGGAGTTTCACCAAGGTGACCAGGATGGTCTCGATCTCTTGACCTCGTGATGCACCCGCCTCAGCCTACCAAAGTGCTGGGATTACAGGCTTGAGCCACCGCGCCTGGCCTTTTTTTTTTTTTTTTAACTTTATTTTAATTTATTTTATAGAGACGGGGATCTCACCATGTTGCCCAGGCTGGTCTCGAACTCCTGGGCTAAAGCGATCTTCCCGCCTCAGCCTCCCAAAGTGTCGGGATTACGGTCGTGAGCCACTGCGCTTGGCCCAGGTTAATTTTTCAGGTTGAAATTTCCCACACCAATCAGGTAAATTAAATCTGGTCTTTGGAATCTCACAAGGCAAACCACTGGGCTTCGATATCTCACCTAGGGCCTTTTTTTCCCTACTCAAAGGCCCTGCAAAGACAAACTTTCTTTACCTTCTCCTTGGACTTATGGTAGGAATTTTTAGTCCTTTTTCACTAAGGTAGTGGTCCTCAGAGGGTTCTAACTTCCCAGCTCTCAGCTCCAATAGATCAGAGTTTGGTACTGGTAAGGACCTAGTCCCTAAGCCATTCCTGGTCCTCACAGCTTGGGCTGTGCTCCCTCTACTTAGCTGGCATCTAGGGATTTCTACATCTTTCTTGCAAGCCCAGCCACACGTTTAAAAAACTTTGGCTATATTTTATCCAACTTCTCTAAGGATTTGTGGCAGGAAAGTTTTCACCACTATTTTGCTGGAACCAGAAATTTTTCTCCTCACTCTACCTGGGTAATTCCTGCTCAACTTTGTGGTCTCAGTTTAAATGTTACTTCTCAGAGAGGTATCCTTAAGCTTCTCCATCTCAGTGTAAAGTAGGATACTACTCATAGCCTACACATAGCACCTTCTTTCTTTCTTAGCACTTAACTTGTCATTGTAACTTCATACAGGTCTTTGTTGAATTTAACTTTTTGTTTTTTTAGACGGAATCTCATTCTGTTGCCCAGGCTGGAGTGCAGTGGTGCAGTCTCGCCTCACTGCAGTCTCCACTTCCTGGGATCAAGTGATTCTCCTGCCTCAGCCTCACAGGTAACTGGGATTACGGGTATGTGCCACGATACCCGGCTAATTTTTTTTGTATTTTTAGTAGAAACGAGGTTTCGCCGTGTTGGCCAGGCTGGTCTCAAATTCCTGAGCTCAAGTGATTCGCCTGCCTCAGCATTCCAAAGTGCTGTGATTACAGGCATGAGCCACCACTCCCGGCCTACTTTAACTTTTTTAGAGACAGACTGTCTGTGTGGCCCAGGCTGGAGTGCAGTGAGTGGCATGATCATGGCTCACTGCAACCTCCACCCCCTGGGCTCAAGTCATCCTCCTGCCTTAGCCTCCCACGTAGCTAGGACTACAGGTACTCTCCATCACACCAGCTAATTAAAAAATAAATTTTGTTTTATAGAGATGGGGTCTTGCTATGTTGAACAAGCTGGTCTCACACTCCAGGGCTCAAGCTGTCCTCCTACCTCTGCCTCCCAAAGTGCTGGGATTACAGGCATGAGCTACCACCCTGGGCTGGAGTCATAGTTTAATGTCTGATAAACCTTTTAGATTGAAAACAACATGAAGGCAAAAATTAAATGTGTTGGTTCAGCATATAGCAGAAGGCCTGATTTATTGAAGATGCTTGGCTGGGTACAGTGGCTCATGCCTGTAATCCTAACACTTTGGGAGGCTGAGGCCAGAGGATGGCTTGAGCCTAGGAGTTCAAGACCAGCCTGGGCAACATAGTGAGACCATCTCTATATTTATAAAATGAAAGAAGATGCTCAATAAATTTTGCTAATAAAACAAGTAATTTTCTAAAAATCTACTAACAGTCTAATATTAAATATGTTGAAACCTATTATCTTCTGTATCTTGGTGATTGTATTCTCCAAGAAAGTGTTCTTAATATAATAAAAGAGACTTCTGATTATTATTTTACTTGACTCACCTTAGAAAAGGATTGTTCACTTTGGGAGGATGGGGCAGAAGGATTGCTTAGTCCCAGGAGTTAGAGACCAGCAGTGGTAATTCGGTTTTTTAAACAGAGACCTTATCTCTATTTAAAAAAAAAAAAACAAAAAAACAGCCAGGTGGGATGGTGCACACCTGTAGTCCCAGATACTTGGGAGGCTGAGGTAGGAGCATCACTTCAAACCAGGAGTTCAAGGTTGCAGTGATCTTTGTTTGTTTGTTTGTTTTTGAGGTGTTTGTTTTTTGAGACAGAGTCTTGCTCTGTGGCCAGGCTGGAGTGCAGTGGTGCGATCTCCGCTCACGGCAACCTCCACCTCCCAGGTTCAAGCAGTTCTCCTGCCTCAGCCTCCCCAGTAGCTGGGATTACAGGCAACTGCCACCATGCCCAGCTAATTTTTGTATTTTTGGTAGAGGTGGGGTTTTGCCATGTTGGCCAGGCTGGCCTCAAACTCCTGACCCCAAGTGACCTCGGCCTCCCAAAGTGCTGGGATTACAGGAGTGAGCCACTGCACCTGGCCACAGTGAGCTTTGATCACACCACTGCACGGCATCCTGGGCAACGAGCAAGATCCTGTCTCTAAACAAAATAAATTAATTGTAATGTAGGTTTTGGTAACCACATGTGTCTTTTCTTCTTCAGAATGGAGATCTCCTCTCATCAGTCTCACCTTCTGCAGCAACTGAACGAACAGCGCAGGCAAGATGTATTTTGTGACTGCAGTATTCTAGTTGAAGGGAAGGTCTTCAAAGCACATCGAAATGTATTATTTGCTAGTAGTGGCTACTTTAAAATGCTTCTTTCTCAGAATTCAAAGGAGACAAGTCAGCCAACTACAGCTACATTTCAGGCTTTCTCCCCTGACACCTTTACAGTTATCCTGGACTTTGTATATTCTGGCAAACTGTCTCTTACTGGTCAGAATGTCATAGAAGTGATGTCAGCTGCTAGCTTCCTACAGATGACTGATGTCATAAGTGTATGTAAGACTTTTATTAAATCTTCCTTAGACATTAGTGAGAAAGAAAAAGATCGCTATTTCAGTCTCTCAGATAAAGATGCCAATTCTAATGGTGTAGAACGCTCCTCTTTTTATAGTGGTGGCTGGCAAGAAGGAAGCAGTTCTCCACATTCTCACCTAAACCCAGAGCAAGGAACAGGTATAATAAGTGGAAAATCCTGGAGTAAGTATAATTATCATCCAACCTCCCAGAGGAATACTCAACAACCCTTGGCCAAGCATGAACCAAGGAAAGAGTCCATTAAAAAGACCAAACATTTGAGATTGTCACAGCCTTCTGAAGTTACTCATTATAAGTCAAGCAAACGAGAAGCACGAACATCCGATTCTTCCAGCCATGTTTCCCAGTCTGAAGAACAAGCACCAATTGATGCTGAAATGGACTCTACTGCTGTTGGCTATCAGTACAGTCAAGGATCTGATGTCACATCCAAAAGTTTTCCAGGTACCCATAAAGAGCATTAAGTCCCCTCAACCAGATTCCAGACTGCTATGTAAATCAATCTTCTGTCAAAATACCCTTAGTTTCAGGTGCTGCTCTAGGCAGTTGAAGCAAGTTTTTAAAAGTCCTATTTCTGGCCGGGCGCGGTGGCTCAAGCCTGTAATCCCAGCACTTTGGGAGGCCGAGGCGGGTGGATCACGAGGTCGAGAGATCGAGACCATCCTGGTCAACATGGTGAAACCCCGTCTCTACTAAAAGTGCAAAAAATTAGCTGGGCATGGTGGCACGTGCCTGTAATCCCAGCTACTCAGGAGGCTGAGGCAGGCGAATTGCCTGAGCCCAGGAGGCGGAGGTTGTGGTGAGCCGAGATCGCGCCATTGCACTCCAGCCTGGGTAACAAGGGTGAAACTCCGTCTCAAAAAAAAAAAAAAAAAAAAAAAGTCCTATTTCTGTAATGAAATTTATTTAGTAAGGCCAGGTGTGGTGGCTCACACCTGTAATCCCAGCATTTTGGGAGGCTGACACAGGCGGATGACCTAGGGTCAGGAGTTTGAGACCAGCCTAGCCAACATGGCAAAACGCTATCTCTACTAAAAGTACAAAAAAAAAGTTACCCAGGCATAGTGGTGTATGTCTGTAATCCCAGCTACTCAGGAGGCTGAGGCAGAAGAATCACTTGAACCCAGGAGGCAGAGGTTGCAGGGAGCCACTCCACTCCAGCCTGGCGACAGCACAGGACTCCGTCACACACACACACAATAAATTTAGCCAGCCATAGTGGTGCACACCTGTAGTGCAAGCTACTCAGCAGGCTGAGGCAGGAGAATCACTTGAGCCTGGGAGGCAGAGGTTGCAGTGAGCTGAGATCATGCCACTGCACTCCATCCTGGGTGATGGAGTGAGACTCTATCTCAAAAAAAAAAAGAAATTTATTTCATAAAACATGGATTTACATTTTTAAATTGAAAGTAATTTTGGATAAATATAATGACAATCAAACTAATAAGAGTACTAAGGGTCAAAACCCATGATTTTCCAAACTTGTGTCTGTGGGTGGTTAGATTACTCTTTTTTTTTTTTGAGACAGAGTTTCGCTCTTGTTACCCAGGCTGGAGTGCAATAGCACGATCTTGGCTCACCGCAACCTCCGCCTCCTGGGTTCAGGCAATTCTCCTGCCTCAGCCTCCTGAGTAGCTGGGATTACAGGCACGCGCCACCATGCCCAGCTAATGTTTTGTATTTTTAGTAGAGACGGGGTTTCACCATGTTGACCAGGATGGTCTCGATCTCTGGACCTTGTGATCCACCTGCCTTGGCCTCCCAAAGTGCTGGGATTACAGGCTTGAGCCACCGCACCTGGCCAGATTACTCTTAAATGTTTAAAGCTCTTTTCTAAATAGTTCAATCCCTAAGACACATATTTTCACTTTAGTTTTTTTTTTTTCTCCTGTGTATTTACTCAGAGGAGTGTTTCAGTGTTTCACTTATTAAGATACAAATACTTTTTTTTTTTTTTTTTTTTTTGAGATGGATTCTCACTCTGTCACCCAGGCGCAATCTCAGCTCACTGCAACCACCGCCACCTGGGTTCAGGCGATTCTCCTGCCTCAGCCTCCCAAGTAGCTGTGACTGCAGGCGAGTGCCACCACACCCAGCTAATTTTTATATTTTTCTTAGAGATAGGGTTTCACTGTGTTGGACAGGCTGGTCTCGAACTCCTGATCTCGAGATCCACCTACCTCAGCCTCCCAAAGTGCTGGGATTACAGGCATGAGCCACTGTGCCTGGCTCATAATTTTTTTTTTAAGGCATGCCTATAGTCCTAGCTACTATGGAGGCTAAGGCAGAGCATCACTTGAGCCCAGAAGTTAAAGACCAGCATAGGCAACATAATGAGGCCCCATCCCCCACCCAAAAAAGAACAAACACCTCACATACAACCCATAACACTGATACTGTAAATCTACCATGGACCAGTGTGCAACATGAGATATTTCATTTTAATGATAACAGTAAAATGCAGAAAGTCCATTTAAATTGACAGTTTCAAAATAATCCTCCCCTCACTCAGAAGTAGGGACTAGGGATAAGAAATGCATATCATCCAATTCCCCCCACCAATTAATCAGTTAACAAATTTGCTTAATAGTTTACTTGCAGGGCAGGGCCCATGGTGGCTCATACCAGTAATCTCAGCACTTATGGGAGGCTGAGGCCGGCAGATCACCTGAGGTTGGGAGTTCGAGACACCCTGACCAATGTGGAGAAACCCCATCTCTACTAAAAATACAAAATTAGCCAGGCATGGTGGTACCTGCCTATAATCCTAGCTACTCGGGAGGCCGAGGCAGGAGAATGACTTGGACCTGGGAGGCAGAGATTTCAGTGAGCTGAGATTGCACCATTGCACTCCAGCCTGGGCAACAAGAGCTAAACTCTATCTCAAAAAAAATTTATATGTAAATTTAAAGGAAAATTATATTAAAATGAAACTCCTGAAGGTTGTAAGACGTAGAGTATATATTTATTTTATTTTATTTTGCTTTTTTTATTTTTATTTTTTATTGTTTATTTATTTATGTTTGAGATGGAGTCTTGCTCTGTCACCCGAGCTGGAGCGCAGTCATATGATCTCGGCTCACTACAACCTCCTCTTTCCTGGTTCAAGCAGTTCTGTACCTCAGCCTTCCGAGTAACTGGGACTACAGGTGCGCACCACCATGCCTGGCTAATTTTTGTATTTTTCATAGAGACGGGGTTTCACTATGTTGGCCAGGCTGGTCTTGAACTCCTGTCCTCATGATCTACCCACCTTGGCGTCCCAAAGTGCTGGGATTACAGGCATGAGCCACCTCACCTGGCCTCTATTTTGCTTTTTTTTTTTAGAGAGATCAGGGTCTCACTATGTTTCCCAGGCTGGTCTTGAACTCCTGGCCTGAAATGATCTTCCCACCTGAGCCTCCCAAAGTGCTGGGATTACAGACATGAGCCACTGTGCCCCGCATAATTTTTATTTTAGAAAAATTTCAAACATATGCAAAAGTAAAGAGAATGGTATAATTAATCTCCACGCACCATTACCTAGTCCCACAACCTTCAACTCATGGCCTGTCTTATGTCTGTATTCTTATCCCTCACCCACTCCCTTTAATATTTTTAAGCCAATCTCAGACATCGTATGTTTTCACCTGTAAATAGTTTAGAATGTGTTCTTAAAATATAGAAAAAAACTACAATACTATTATCATACCTAAAAAACGCTCTCTATATATATACATTTTATTTATTTATTTATTTTTTTTTTTTTTGAGACAGGGTCTCACACTGTTGCCCAGACTGGAGTACAGTGGCACGATCTCGGCTCACTGCAATTTCCACCTCCTGGGTTAAGCAATTCTCTCACCTCAGCCTCCCAAGTAACTGGGACTACAGGTGTGTACCATCATACCTGACTAATTTTTTAATTTTTGGTAGAGATGGTTTTACCATGTTGGCTAGGCTGGTCTATAGCTCCTGACCTCAAATGATTTTGCACCAAGAAAAAAGCTTAAATAGTAAATACTTTTACTTTAAAATTGTGTACAGTTTTAAAATATAGTACTATTTTACATTTAAAATCTAAAGACCCTACTGCATTAAATAAAAAAATAAGCTTCGGAGGCCAAGGTGGGCGAATCACAAGGTCAGGAAATCAAGACCATCCTGGCCAACATGGTGAAACCCCATCTCTACTAAAAATACAAAAAAATTAGCTGGGCGTGGTAGTGTGTGCCTGCAGTCCCAGCTACTTGGGAGGCTGAGGCAGGAGAATTGCTTGAACCCGGGAGGCAGAAGTTGCAGTGAGCCAAGGTTGCACTACTGCACTCCAGCCTGGCACCTGGTGATGGAGTGAGACTCTGTCTCCAAAAAAAAAAAAAAAAAAAAAAAAATCATGGCAGTTTGAATTTACCCAACTTTCTAAATATGTCAAATACTGAAGTTAAAGTTCTATACTTAGGATTACATTGACAATCTAGTCTTAATAAAATTTCTTTCATCTCTGTTTTTCCTACCTTCCCAAGATTGGGCTCACTAACTCCTTGTGAATTCTTTCTATTTTATTTTACTTTTTTAAGTTTATTTTTTTCTTTCCTCATTTCCATTGGGGTTGGATTTTATTCTTTCTGTTATTAGAATTGTTATTATGAACTTTCTAGTGATTTAATCAAGCTGTCTCTCTTGACAGGTGATCTGCCCCGGATGCGATTCAAGTGCCCATACTGCACACACGTGGTAAAGCGGAAGGCAGACCTAAAACGCCACCTTCGTTGTCATACGGGAGAAAGGCCCTATCCATGTCAAGCTTGCGGAAAAAGATTTAGCAGGCTAGACCATCTAAGTAGCCATTTTCGAACAGTATGTATGACTTTTTTCATTGTTTTACTAACTTGTTTTTGTTGCTTGTTTATTTGTTTTTGTTTTTTTGAGACAGAGTTTCACTCTTGTTGCCCAGGCTGGAGTGCAATGGTGCGATCTTGGCTCACTGCAACCTCTGCCTCCCAGGTTCAAGCAATTCTGCCTCAGCCTCCCAAGTAGCTGGGATTACGGACGTGTGCCACCATGCCTGGCTAATTTTGTATTTTTAGTAGAGATGGGGTTTCACCATATTGAACATGCTGGTCTCAAACTCCTGACCTCAGGTGATTCACCTGCCTCAGCCTCCCAAAAGTGCTGGGATTACAGTCATGAGCCATCGTGCCCGGCCTTGTTTTGTTTTCTGAGACAGGGTCTCTCCGTATCGCCCAGGCTGGAGAGCAGTGGTGCCATCTCAGCTCACTGCAGCCACGACTTCCCAGGTTCAAATGATCGTCCTGTCTCAGTCTCCTGCACTGGGACTACAGGCCTGCACCAACATGCTGGGCTAATTTTTGTATTTTTTTGTAGAGATGGGGTTTCACCATGTTACCCAAACTGGTCTTGAACTCCTGGAGGCAAGTGATCCACCTGCTTCTACCTCCCAAAGTGCTGGGGTTACAGGCAGAGCCACTGCACCTGGCCTATCATTTTACTTCTTAAGAAATATGGGCCGGGCGCGGTGGCTCAAGCCTGTAATCCCAGCACTTTGGGAGGCCGAGGCGGGTGGATCACGAGGTCAAGAGATCGAGACCATCCTGGTCAACATGGTGAAACCCCGTCTCTACTAAAAATACAAAAAATTAGCTGGGCATGGTGGTGCGTGCCTGTAATCCCAGCTACTCAGGAGGCTGAGGCAGGAGAATTGCCTGAATCCAGGAGGCGGAGGTTGCGGTGAGCCGAGATCGCGCCATTGCACTCCAGCCTGGGCAACAAGAGTGAAACTCTGTCTCAAAAAAAAAAAAAAAAAAGAAAAAGAAATATGTACATTTGACTGGGTGCAGTGGCTCACACCTGTAATCCCAGCGCTTTGGGAGGCCAAGGTGGGCAGATTGCTTGAGGCCAGGAGTTCAGTTCAAGACCAGCCTGGCTAACATTGTGAAACCCCATCCACCAAAAATACAAAAATTAGTGGGTCATGGTAGCGCATGCCAGTAATCCCAGCTACTCAGGAGGCTGAGGCATGAGAATCGCCCAAACCCAGGAAGTGGAGATTACAGTGAGCTGAGATTGGGCCACTGCACTCCAGCCTGGGTTACCATGGGAGACCCTGTCAAAAAAAAAAAATTACATTTATTGGCTTTAAGATCATCTCATTTGCTGAGAGAAATCTTTTCACACAAGTCTATCATATTTAAAATTCTTCCAACAAAATGTTTTTACTTTGTACATAAAGCATAATTATATATATATTGATTTTTACTCTCCTTTGACACCTTGAAGTGGGGTATATTCTTTTGATAGTAAATAGTTTTATATTTCCATTTAAATTCACTTAGTCTAATATGTTTTTATGTACTGGTCTGTTCAGAGCCAAAAATAATATAAATTGTATAAATGTTTTAAGAGTCTAGGTCAGAGTCACCACTGCAGATACGTAGCATCTCCCAGTGATTATTGAACCCTTGTCTGGTAGGATCTCAGTCTAGTTGCTGCTGTGCTGCCCAACCAAAGGGTGTCCCCACTGTACCTGCTTTCTTTCTTTCTTTTTTTTTTTTTTTGAGACAGTCTTGCTCTGTTGCCCAGACTGGAGTGCAGTGGTACAATCTCAGCTCACTGCAACCTCAACTTCCTGGGTCCAAGCAGTTCTCTTGCCTCAGGCTCCCAGATAGCTGGGATTACAGGTGCCTGGCCTAGTTTTTGTATTCTTAGTAGAGATGGGGTTTCACCATGTTGGCCAGGCTGGTCTCAAACTCCTGACCTCAAGTGATCTACCTTGGCATCCCAAAGTGGTGGGATTACAGGCGTGAGCCACTGAGCCAAGCCTCTTGGATTTTTTTTTACTATGTTTGGCGGCCTACTTCTGTACTGTCCTGACTTTATCTAAATGAATATTCCAAACATTGGTTCAACATTACACAATTAATTTTTATAATTTTTAGATTAGGGCCGGGTGTGGTGGCTCACGCCTGTAATCCTAGCACTTTGGGAGGCTGAGGCGGGTAGATCACGAGGTCAAGAGATCGAAACCATCCTGGCCAACATAGTGAAACCCTGTCTCTACTAAAATACAAAAATTAGCTGGGTGTGGTGGTGTGCACCTGTTGTCCCAGCTACTCAGGAGGCTGAGGCAGGAGAATTGCTTGAACCCAGGAGGCAGAGGTGGCAGTGAGCCAAGATCGCGCCATTGCACTCCAGCCTGGTGCCTGGTGACAGATCAAGACACTTTCTCAAAAATATAAATAAGTAAATAAATAGGCCGGGCTTGGTGGCTCACACCTGTAATCTCAGCACTTTGGGAAGCTGAGGCAGGTGGATCACAAGGTCAGGAGTTCAAGACCAGACTGGCCAACATGGTGAAACCCCCGTCTCGAAAACACAAAAATAATAAATATAAATAAATAATTTTTAGATTAGAACCCATAATCTACTGTTCTGACAGCTATTGAACAAAGTTGTTTATTATTATAATACATAATTATGCATCAACTGCAACTGTTTATCAAAGCATTTTATACATGTTAATTCATTTGGTCCTCACATTAACCCTGTGAGTGGTATTCCCATTAGCCATAGCAAGCAAGCAAAGATAATAATAGACTGATATGTAGAAGCAGGACCAAAGTAATTGTTTATGTTCAGTGTCCAGTAGAATTGGTCAGGCTTCTCATCTGTCTGGGTGCCCATATCTTAACAGTTAAAGTTAAATATTTTAACTGTCACCCTAAAGCGGGTTTTTTTTTTTTTTTTTTTGAGACGAAGTTTCACTCTTGTTACCCAGGCTGGAGTGTAATGGCGCGATCTCGGCTCACCGCAACCTCCGCCTCCTGGGTTCAGACAATTCTCCTGCCTCAGCCTCCCGAGTAGCTGGGATTACAGGCACGTGCCACCATGCCCAGCTAATGTTTTGTATTTTTAGTAGAGATGGGGTTTCACCATGTTGACCAGGATGGTCTAGATCTCTTGACCTCGTGATCCACCCGCCTCGGCCTCCCAAAGTGCTGGGATTACAGGCTTGAGCCACCGCGCCTGGCCCGGGTTTGCTTTTTTTTTGGAAGTGGAGTCTTGCTCAGTCATCAGGCTGGAGTGCAGTGGTGCAATCTTGGCTCACTGCAACCTCCACCTCCCAGGTTCAAGTGATTCTCCTGCCTCAGCCTCCCAAGTAGCTGGGACTACAGGCACATGCCACCATGCCCAGCTAATTTTTGTATTTTTAGTAAAGACAGGGTTTCACCATTTTGGCCAGGATGGTCTCCATCTCTTGACCTTGTGATCCACCCACCTCAGCCTCCCGAAGAGCTGGAATCACAGGCATGTGCCAACATGGCCAGCCTAAAGCAGGTTTATATAATGTTTTAAATTACTTGCTCCAAGGTACATGGTTAGTAAGTGACAAAGATAGTAGATGACTAGAACCCCAAGCCTTCCAATCCCTGTGTGGTCCTCTTTCCACCAGATCTTTTCTTATTTTTTCTTTTTTTTTTTTTTTTTTTTTTTTTCCTCGAGACGGAGTTTCGCTCTTGTTACCCAGGCTGGAGTGCAATGGCACGATCTCGCCTCACCGCAACCTCCGCCTCCTGGGTTCAGGCAATTCTCCTGCCTCAGCCTCCTGAGTAGCTGGGATTACAGGCACGCGCCACCATGCCCAGCTAATTTTTTGTATTTTTAGTAGAGACGGGGTTTCACCATGTTGACCAGGATGGTCTCGATCTCTCGACCTTGTGATCCACCCGCCTCGGCCTCCCAAAGTGCTGGGATTACAGGCTTGAGCCACCGCGCCCGGCTTCTTTTTTTTTTTTAAAGATGGGGTTTCACCATGATGGCCAGGCTGGTCTTGAAGTCCTGACCTCAGGTGATCCACCCACCTCGGCCTCCCAAAGTGCTAGGATTACAGGCATGAGCCACAGCGCCCAGCCCACCAGATCTTTTCTTAATAAAAATGGCAAGTACTCCTTCTATACAAAATATTGACAGATTTAAATTTGTACCATATTTTTCTTTCTCTAGTAAAATAACAAAAAATTAATACACAAAACAAGAGAGATTCCCACCTCTCAATTATGATATGTTCAGCCTGGACAACATAGTGAGACCTTTTCTCTCTATATATTTTTTTTAATTAGCCAGGCATGGTGTCATGTGCCTGTAGTCCCAGCTCCTGGGTAGGTTGGGATAGGAGGATTGCTTGAGCCTGGGAGGTTGAGGCTGCAGTGAGCCATGGTTACAACTACACCCCAGCCTGGGTAACAGAGTGAGACTCTATCTTTTTTTTTTTCTCAGTTCTTATGCAATTTCAGAGAAAGACTCTATCTTAAAAATAAAAAGTACGTGGGGCACGATGGCTCACACCTGTAATCCCAGCACTTTGGGAGGCTGAGGCAGGTGGATCATGAGGTCAGGAGTTTGAGACCAGCCTGACCAACATGGTGAAATCCCATCTCTACTAAAAACACAAAAATTAGCCAGGCATGATGGCACGTGCTTATAATCCCAGCTGCTCAGGAGGCTGAGGCAGGAGAATCGCTTGAACCTGGGAGGCAGAGATGGCAGTCAGCCAAGATCACACCATTGCACTCCAGCCTGGGTGACAGAGCAAGACTCTGTCTCCCAAAAAATAAATAAATAAGTAAGTAATAAAGTAAATTAAGGGGAAAAAAAGTACATGGCACATAGTAAGTGTTTGCAATTATTATCTTTTGAAATATCCCGTTGTTCCCTGAGATACCCAAATGCTATTGGAGTAAGTGATATGTGAAACTATTATGTAATATTAATAATAAAAAACATGATAGCCACTATTTAGAGAAAGCATATGTTTAATATTTTTGTGACATCAGTTTATCACTAAAACCCTTGATCTGCCGGGTGCGGTGGCTCATGCCTATAATCCTAGCTCTTTGGGAGGCTGAGGCAAGCGGGTTGCCTGAGCTCGGAAGTTCAAGACCAGCCTGGGCAACAGGGAACTCCGTCTCTTAAAAAAAAAAAAAAAAAAAAAAAAAGGCTGGGCGCGGTGGCTCAAGCCTGTAATCCCAGCACTTTAGGAGGCCAAGGAGGGCAGATCACGAGGTCAAGAGATCGAGACCATCCTGGTCAACATGGTGAAACCCTGTCTCTACTATAAATACAAAAAAAGTAGCTGGACATGGTGGCACATGCCTGTAATCCCAGCTACTCAGGAGGCTGAGACAGGAGAATTGCCTGAACCCAGGAGGCGGAGGTTGCAGTGAGCGAAGATCGCGCCATTGCACTCCAGCCTGGGTAACAAAAGTGAAACTCCATCTTAAAAAAAAAAAAAAAAAGGAAAAAGGAAAAAAAAAATTTTTTTTTAAAACCCCTTAATCTTTTTCTAATAATCAGATGTTATTTGAGTTTAATGCATGGCTTTGAACATCTTAAGTTTATGAACTGGTACCTAAAATATCAAACTGTCCTGCTTTTGAAAAATCACGTTTATCACTATTTAAATCTCTACACAGATTCACCAGGCATGTAAACTCATCTGCAGAAAATGTAAACGTCATGTGACAGATCTAACAGGGCAAGTGGTACAGGAGGGAACCAGGCGCTACAGACTGTGTAATGAGTGTCTTGCAGAATTTGGCATTGACAGCCTCCCCATTGACTTGGAAGCTGAACAACATCTTATGTCCCCATCAGATGGAGATAAGGATTCCAGATGGCACTTGAGTGAAGATGAGAATAGATCCTATGTGGAGATTGTAGAAGATGGGTCTGCTGATCTGGTCATCCAACAGGTTGATGATAGTGAAGAAGAAGACGAAAAAGAAATTAAGCCCAACATTAGGTAGCTGTAATGTGAACCAACAGAGCTGGCATGTCTGCAATTTACATTGACTTCCTCTCTCTTTCTATGGTCAGAATCTAGTTAACAAATTTATCATACTGACTTTGAAGAAATGACCTGATATAACTTGCATGCTTTCTGAACAGGCCATTGTATCCATTCTGAACTTTGTTGCCCTAAAGTGTGTTGCTGCACTGGAAAGAACCAGCTTGAGTTGGCATGATGGATGAACAATTATCCTCTTACTTTCATTACAGTCCTCTTACTTTATTACAGAGATACCCTTTTTCTTTTAATATTGGAAGATCTACTTAGCACATTTTTTCAAAGAAATACTTTAAATAAATTCACCACAATCAAACTTTATGTAAAACAATTTCAAGATGTTTCAAAACCACATATACTACCAATGTTGAATTTCACAGGGAAACAGTTAAGAATACATTTAAGTATCTGACAACCCACCTGACTAAAGAAATTAGTCTTTCTATTAATTTGAGATCTGAAACAACTTGTCATTACTCTGATATTAAGGATTATGGAAGAAGACTAAAGTATTTGAAATTGTTCATATTTGCAATTTTTGTCATTAGGTTAAAAATTACTCTCAGTGTTGTTTAAAAAAAAAAAGAAGAAGAAGAAAAAAGAAGAAACCTAAAGTAGAGGCTGACCAAAGGTTATATACAGATATTTTCTTAAAGCAGGAAGCTAATGTTGCATAAAAGTCAACGTAGTTTGTGAAGACGATCAGTCAGTATGGTTATCTATCTCTCTAAAAACAAACAGGCCTAGCACAGTGGCTTACACCTATAATCCCAGCACTTTGGGAGGCCAAGGCAAGCAGATCACCTGAGGTCAGGAGTTTGAAACCAGCCTGGCCAACATGTTTAAACGTTGTCTATACTAAAAAATACAAAATTAGCCGGGTGTGGTGGCACATGCCTGTAATCCCAGCTACTCAGGAGGCTGAGGCAGGAGAATTGCTTGAACTTCGGACACAGAGGTTGCAGTGAGCAGAGATCGCACCGTAGCACTCCAGCCTGGGCAACAAGAGTGAAACTCCATCTCAAAAAAAAAAAAAAAAGAAAAACAAACTAGGAGGTTCTTAGCATATTTGAGTGATTTCTAACATTTATGTAGTGCTATATTATTTATAAAGTACTTGCTCACTTATTTTCTCACTCAGTGAGGTGGGTACTATCTGCAGTTTACAAATGAGAAAATTAAGGTTGGAAAGTTTAAGAGACAAAACTGATGCCTGGACAGGGTCTGATTTTAAACAGTCCTCTTTCAACCTTCTCTCCCTGTATGTCTCCTGAAATGGCAAAGAATAGAAGTCAAACCTTACCACTTGGCAGTAATTATAAAAATAAGCCAACCAGGATTAGAAAGCATGAAAGGAGGAATTGAATCATTTTCAACAATGTGCAATATCTTGATCTAGAGTTATTCAAATAGTGCTAAGTAATGTCCCTACAGTACCTATTGGTATGTTTTTATGTCAGGTTATTTATATGTAAATTTAAAGTATACAACTATTTGAACAAATTATTCACTTAAATACATTGAGCATTTTTGCTTCTCTTGTTTATGTAATATTTTCTTTCTTTTTTTTTTTTTAAGACAGAGTCTCAATGTCGCCAGGCCGGAGTGCAGTGATGCTATCTCGGCCACTGCAACCTCCGACTCCCTGGTTCAAGCGATTTTCCTGCCTCAGCCTCCCGAGTAGCTGGGATTACAGGCACATGCCACCACGCCCAGCTAATTTTTGTATTTTTAGTAGTGATGGGGTTTCACCATGTTGGCCAGGATGGTCTCGATCTCCTGACCTAAGTGATCCACCTGCCTGACCTCCCAAAGTGCTGGGATTATAGGCGGGAGCCACCACACCCTGCCAGGATATAGTATTTTCTTTTCTTTTCTTTTTGAGACGGAGTTTCGATCTTGTTACCCAGGCTGGAGTGCAATGGGGCGATCTTGGCTCACCACAACCTCTGTCTCCTGGGTTCAAGCAATTCTTCTGCCTCAGCCTCCAGAGTAGCTGGGACTACAGGTGTGCGCCACCATGCCCAGCTAATTTTTGTATTTTTAGTAGAGACAGGGTTTCACCATGTTGACCAAGAAGGTCTCAATCTCTTGACCTCGTGATCCACCCATCTCGGCCTCCCAAAGTGCTGGGATTACAGGCGTGAGCCACCGTACCCGGCCTTAGTATTTTCAAAACAAACTTTTCTCCTGTTATACAAAGTTTACACTTCTCCCCTGCATAAATTATGAAACATTCCAAAATTACAGTTAAATTAGAGAAACATTGTTTTAGCTCTAAAGTTAAAATCTAAATGTCAGAAGTAAAGGCCGGGTGCGATGGCTCAAGCCTGTAATCCCAGCACTTTGGGAGGCCGAGGTGGGTGGATCACAGGGTCAACAGATCGAGATCATCCTGGTCAACATGGTGAAACCCCGTCTCTACTAAAATACAAAAAAAATTAGCTGGGCATGGTGGCGTGTGCCTGTAATCCCAGCTACTCAGGAGGCTGAGGCAGGAGAATTGCCTGAACCCAGGAGGCGGAGGTTGCGGTGAGCCAAGATCGTGCCCTTGCACTCCAGCCTGGGTAACAAGAGCGAAACTCCATCTCAAAAATAAATAAAATAAAATAAAATAAATGTGTATGGCCGGGTGCGGTGGCTCAAGACTGTAATCCCAGCACTTTGGGAGGCCGAGGCGGGTGGATCACAAGATCAAGAGATCGAGACCATCCTGGTCAACATGGTGAAACCCTGTCTCTACTAAAAATACAAAAAATTAGCTGGGCATGGTGGCGCGTGCCTGTAATCCCAGCTACTCAGGAGGTTGAGGCAGGAGAATTGCCTGAATCC